GTTGAAGGTCATTAAAGTTTAACAACCTCAAGAAGGATGTGAGACTTTGACACAAATGAGTTCCAGCTCTGATGGTGTCCATCATTCGATGGGCAAAAACTCAGTCGGTTTTCACCCGAAACGAGGGAGGAGGACTCGTCGATTGCGTCGGTCTGAACGTTGTTGTAAAGTCAAACGGATCTAGTACAGCGAGAATTAGCCGTCGCCTTTTGGTGGGATCAAACTAGGAATATTTTCTAGATGTACTTTCAAACGAAGTGAAAGTCTCCCAAACAATTGCACTCGGGATGTTGACAAAGTCTAGACAACACTGTAAACCACAGGATGGGACGAGTTATAACCAATTTTCAATATTCCTGCATAGTTCGTTTGACCTCCGAAATAAAGCCCATCCTGACATTTCGTGGGCAGGCAATTTGTCTACCAGTAAAGTGTGCTTACCGCACTGAGGTGGGCATAAGTGATGAGCAAAATGGGAGAACGGGACGACTTGCGTGCCAAAAAGAGGTGAACGAAGGTTGAGCATCAATTGAAATGCCAGAATGATAGGAATCAAAAGTATTCAAGTGTGGAACTTAGGATAGCAATCGAGGAGAAGGACCAAACACACACACATTTAAGATGTAACTGATACCAAAAGAATTGAGGCTGTTTCAGACGGCATGCTGTGTGGAGGAATTGGGGCCTGATGAAACGAAGGCAATGCATATCTCATTTCCACCCCAATGGCAGCAGCATTGTGACTATACCTACTGTTTATGCCATAAAAGGGACGGCCAACTCCAGTTCTGATTTGGTACCATAAACTTAGCACGATGGCGAACAGCGAAAAGAATTATAACAGAAACGATATCTGGATTAAAATATCAGGCCAATAGCTCGATAAGAGAGAATCACCAAAGAAAAGAGGAGGAACAGTGCTCGGGCAGGACTAGAGATGACAAGGTCTGGAAAGAGAACGAATGAAGATAGCATGAATCGAATCGTGAATAAAAAACAGGATAAGTGTGTTTACTTGTGCGTTTTTGTATGTATGGCAATAATATGAAATAATAATAGTTAAACTCAATGTGAACCTCCAACATATCAGTTGAGGAGAGCAGATTGGAAGAAGTCAAATCAACCTAAAATAGAGATAAAAGCCCGTCAGAAAACTATTCATTTATTTATTTATTTATTTGACTCATTTTTATGTTGGTCGCTGATATGAGTGGGTAGGCGGGAGACGATGAGAGTCAGGCTGTAGCCGAAGAAATAGGAAGCAAAGTAGAAAGCTTTGGTATAGACTTTGACTACCCCGAAGAGGGCTGCGGAAGAGCAGGATAGTGAAGAAGAAAGCGAGTAGGGAAATGATGGCAAGCGACTTGGACGAGTACAATGATTAATCGTAGATGAGTCGCTTACAGTGTGGAGGCGGAGGTCGAAAAGGTGGACTGTTAAGTTAAAAAAAAGAGGTAATGTAGGAACAGTGGGAAGGCATTCGTGCAAGCATGGGCGCGGATTTGCGTGCCTGGCGGTGAAATGTGCTGTAGGCAGGCGATGGACATGTGAATTAGCGACAGTGTGTACGAAAGTTGCCTACGCCGGGCGTAAGGATGAACTAATTGGCATTAGGCGGAGGGGTGATTAGGTGGAGTTACGATGCATAGCGAATGGATCGACATGGAACAAGGGATCGGCTGGGTCTGCACAGGATTAGGAGTTGTGAATATATATGGTCATTGGCTGGACAGGGCGAAAATGAGGGATGACGAGTGGGAGAAGACGGGTCACGATGAGCGGCATTCATCGCTCTGTACGGGACAGAGAAGCGGTGAGGGTTTTATGAAGTGAATTGGAGGTTTAGGGGGCATGTAGCAGTGCCGGATGGATACAAGAGAATAAAAAGAAAAGAAGCAAAAAGAAAAGGCTGGAGTTAGAATGCAACCTCATAGAGGGTGGCTTTCCGGTCACCAGAACCCGTGACGACAAACTTGTCATCGAGTGAGATGTCACAGCTGAGCACTGAGGAAGTCTCTTTCATCTGGAGCGATGATGCAGGGAGGTGAGATAGCGAAATAGCAAAAGAATAAAAAAATGTAGAGGAGATTGGTAATGCAAAAGATTCGCTAAAGACTATATTCGTTTTATTAATATATGCCTTACAAATGACAAATAATAAATCATATTAGTAATTGCAAAATTTAAACATTTTGTGACATTTTGTAGATTCACGATGCTTGCCAGCTGTGACCAAACAGGTAGTTAGAAAACAGATGAAATAAAGTCTTAGCTACAAAGCAACTAACACTTAGTGCACAAAAACAGTTGTTCTAGCCACCATTAGGATAACTGGTAGAAAGAAAGTAATCGATGGGCTGCAATTGGGTAAGCATGAATGTGTGCAAAAATTAGTTGGTTTTTAATTTAAAAAACATATGGTAGGCTTTCGTTTTGATTTTTGCACAATTATGAAAAATCCCTGGTCTGAAAAGACTGATAAATAAATATAAGGCAAATAAGTTCCGTTGAACATATTGTCCTTTTTCCCTCAAAATCCTCAGGTAAGACTAGGTCCTGAATAATATTTACTAAAAAATAACCGACTAACTTGAGACCTGCTGGCCAGAGAGAGGTAAAAGTTAATTAAACTGATCAATAAGTTGTGAATGGAAAAAGTGTTCTTTTTTCTCAACACATTGTTTTCTTTCACTTCCTCAGTAAAACATCTACCTTTTGCGATGTTTAACAAAATGATAATATCAGACTCAAGTAGAGTGATTCTACCGTCTTTATTGGTCAAGAATGACGTTTTCCTGTGTCCTATTTCCGAATATTATCAAATAATTTCAACTAAGTTCTGATGGATAAGCGTTGTCCACTAGAAGTTTTGCTATGCGCCAAAATTCTTTGATTGCTGTGAATAAGACGAATGGTACGCAGACTCCCTAATATCGTAGATTTTATTACTTCTTCTCTTAACACCATAAGTATGCATCAAAAGGAAATTCAAAATAGATTATCTACTCTTCTTACCGTGTTGTCATTGGCGAATTTCCCATCCATATATCTATAAAAAAGCTGGGTTTCGAGGAATCCCCTAAAATGAATGAACGTGACGTACAGTTCATTTCGTTTGAAAAGAAGGATGGATGAGATTTTGTAAATTTGCCTTTCCAGAAACGAGCTTTTAAAGGGTGCATGTGTCAAGGAAGTATTGGCACAAGTGTACGATCACAACTGCAAGGCAATCCTCAGTCGGCTTCTGGTCAAACCAATTTACTAACCTCTTCCACCTGCCTCGTAGGGCAAAATGAAAGTAAGACTGTATTCATTAAGAACGAAAAGATCTGAGCGCGTCCAAATCGGCAGTAGCCATGAATATTTGAGATGCGTCATCAATATATGATCAAAAAAAGGCAAACGTTAAAAAACGATATTTGTACAATAATGGGATGTGTATGCGAAGTGTACGCTTTTGCTTGCAATATTCTGAAAAATATTAATAAAATTGTGATTCCATATTATTTTACTCAAGTAGTACGTTTTAAGAAGGGAGTTTCATTAAATCTAAATCTATATCATAATAACTTATCTTTAATGGGTTAGCTTGGGAAAAACGTTGGAGAATAGGGAAAAATAAAATAAAATTTCAAACTGATGCTAGCCAAGAGTACATAAAACGAAATGATTAAGACGAGGAAACGTGGTAAATAGCAAGGCATTTCAAGTTATAAGCAGCAGTGCTCTATGCCTTTATTTGAGAAGACTACTAGTAGTCAGGAATGTGATTTGTTAATAAATTTTTCTGCTATATAAAATCACCATGATTATAATTAAATGGGGCAAAATAGCAAAGGGAAAAAGGAGTAAAGAACGCTTAAAACTGATAAATGGATAATTTTATTCAAGATTAAATGTAAATTGGAAAAAACTAGACTGGAACAAAAGAAGAATGAAATCCGAAAGATTAAGCAGAAAATCCAACTGATTTTTTTTCAAAATTAACCGAAAAGCATAATATATGTGTGATAAAGAAATGGCAGTTGAGGAGACATGACGTTTAGGTTGAATTTCACACAGCCTTGCTTTCCCCAAAAGTATTCTCACTCAAGCAGAATTGGACTGCAGTCTTAACCTCGCCCATGTCTTATCAGCACACCCAGCGGGAATCGAACCATGACAGTGCATTGTGCAATCTCGACACATTAGCCACTAGACCAGATTGCCACGAGTGCCCTTGGGTCACAGAGAAGATTGTAATTTATGGAATGCCAAGCATTTTACCATATCACATTCAGCTGTGGGAGTTTCGATGAGGCATACTTATATTTGCAATAGCAATGTAAGTCTTTGTGTAGGCTTTCGAGACTGCCAGCAAATCATATATATGAAATGTGTGAATTACCTGGAAGAGATTGGCGCCATAGGGCGTTCGCCAGGCGTTGAGGCAGTGGTCTTTGCCAGTGGAAGCGAACCAGGAGCCAGAGTGTGCAAACCTCAAAGATAAAACGCAGCTTGCGTGCAATGTCAACTGGTAGCGCTGGCTACCGGCAGCCGCAGAAGCGGGCAGACCAGACGAAAGGCCACCGCTGCCAGAACCGCCGGTGTTGAGCACTTCAACGCAGTCGGATTCGAGGCCCACCGCCAGCCAGTCGCCGGTCGGACAGACGCCCAATGAGAAGACCTGAGAGGCAAAGTCGACTCTGGCCACTTGGTGCTGGCGTGGAGATGCCGCAGTCCCGGGCGAAGCGTCAGTCCCGCTGCTGTTGTAATTGGAGCCAGCGAGCATTCCACGCAAATCCCAGGAACGAACAGTTTTGTCTAGTCCTCCTGTCCAAAGCTGATGCCCGTCGGGGCCGCCGGTCAAGTCAATGCAGCTGGCGCCCTCTAAATGGCCCGACAAGGTGCGAACCAGGCTCTGGTTGTGCAGATCCCAAATGGCAATGTTACCATCCGAGCAACAACTATACAATAAAATTGAATGCGCATTTATTAAGAATTGATGGAAATTGAAAAGACATTTTTAAAAACAATCATCTTGGAGTATAGCAACAAGGGAGTACAGTCTTTATTTCGGTAGAATTCTTCCTTCACCAAGTAAAAGTGGTTTCCTCTTTTTCTCGTAATGACTAGGAATGTACAAATTCACGAAATGGGCGCGGAAAATCATG